TGGAACTTAGGTAAAATTTAGATGCCTATATCCAACATTTTAGTGCTGAAAACCTCTGCTTCAATTGCCAGTTGATCTTGAAGATACCAGAATTATCTTTTGATCTAAAGCTTTCCAGGCATTTTTTGCACAAGCTCCAAACTGTCTCAGTTCTGTGCTCATATCTAATCAAAATCACAAACTAGAGAGTAGACACTTTTCTTCTCAGGGGCTTGAGGCTGTAGTTATTTCTGGAATGCACTTAATATTGCTGACCTCTCTAAAAATAAATTTGTGATAGCCATCATCTTCTTTTAAGGCATAATAAGCATGTGTCATTTCTTCTACAGTGGTCTAGGGCACTAAGGTATTGTACAAGGTACAGGTTCAGTCCCTTCCCTTCCACTACCTGAGGAAATTGAAGAGCATTCTCAATGCATGGCACATTCTGTATGGGGGAAAAGGGAGAACTGAAGAGGAGCAGAAAAGTGATTAAAGATTTTGCTGAGCTAAAGCTAAGGAAGGAGAACATAAACTGTGGTAGAACTCTGTGACTAGGAAGCTAAGGTAAACCTCGTAGAAAGTATGGAGGTAAATTCTGTTTACACATGTCTTTCTCAATGTTTAATGTAAACCACTATTTTGTATTATTCAGTGGTGGGTTTTTTTCCTGCTTTGTTTGTTTGTTTTTGTTTTGTTTTGGTTTTCTGTTTCTTCCTCACCAAATAACTGATTCAAGGCAAATTGATTTTTAGTATCATGGTGTTACTGTATTTTGGTGTTGTGTTCTGATAGAATGGTGGTTTGGGTTTTTTTTGTTAACATTACCTTAATGGCAAAAGGTGCAATAAAAATACAACCCAATACAGGAAGGGTAAAACAAGCACAGAATGATATGGTGTATTTATCATGTGCTTGTAGCTTGCAGCAGTACTTTGCCAGTTAAACTCTTTAGGAAAAGTAATCTGTATGTTATGGAATACTTGGTGATTCAGGTGACAGCTGAAACCCACTATCCTTTCTACAAATAAGCAGTTCAAACACGTTAAAATTCTAGGGAATAATTTTTATGAATAAACTTAGAGCAAGGTTTCTTATCGCTTAAAACATAAAAGTTAAAATTTCTTAGTTAGTAATAATTTCCCGTACATGACAGCAATCATCCTAAGGGATGGCTTCGGTAGCCTGGCAGTATATGTGGTTAGAAGCTCTGGGTGGACACTCATAGCATGACTTTATGGAAAATGATGGGTTAGTAACAGTTTCAGAAGTAATTATGGAGATATTTCTATCAACTCATGCAGTGAAACCAACTCATCAGACATGGAGGAGGTCACTACAGGGGATGGCATTACATCTGGGAAGCAAGATGATGTTATGTAGCTTTTCTTCATCAGAAATGCAGGCAGTGTGGTGATGATGAGGACTTGAATGCTGGATGCCAAGATGGACTGCTGAGAGACGTCTATGGGACAGAATTGCAGTGCCACAAAAAAATACTTCAAAACATTTGTAGGGTTCTCTTTGAAAACAACACAAAGATGCATAGAGAATTTAATTACATTTAGGGGGAAAAAAAAATTATTATAATTTGTGGACCTGTAGTATTCCCACATCTTGAATATTGCTTTAAGTTTGATGATTTCATCTCCAAACAAATAGAGATTAATTAGAAAAGAAGAACAGAATGGGACAATAAAAACAATCAAATGTTTTGCTTAACTTCTGCATGAAGCTAGAGTAGGACAACTTCAGGGAGAGGATAGGTGTCTATAATATCATGAACGATATGGAAAAAGAAAATTGGAAATAATCAATCTGTTTCATGGTATAAAGGAAAACCTGATGACATTAGGATTTAAAACAAAACCGAGAAAGTTGTGCAACTGTGAAAGTTCAGTAGTAGAACTGAAGATGTTGTCTAGTCCAAAAAAGGGTTGGAATAATCTATGAAAAATAAGGAATCTTCTTAACGTGATCATGTAGATCCAGCATCTATCTTAGGAAGCCTTTCTGTTCCTGATCTACAGAAGGTTCATTCAACTTGCTTTTGCTCTGACCCAATACGTATTTCTCAGGTGGAGAAAAGGCTGGCGACATGAAAATTGTAATTGCTGAAAGAAGCATGCTAACGACATCCATGAACATAAACCACTGCACAAAATGGCTTAGAAAAAAAAAGAAAATTAGTATAGAGACCCTCTACAATCTTTCTCCTCAGGCCAATCAAAATTTGTGAAAACTTTCTAAGTCCTAAACTAAAAAAATGCAAACTGCCCATTTCCAGAGATGCTATCTGTAGCTGGTTTAAAGTTACTTATGACTTCAAAGCCTGCTGCAAGGCTTTGGGAGTGCTGTGAAACAGCCTGCAAATTAGCTAGCTGTGAGCTGTTTATAGAAAAAGAGTAAAATAAAATTGTGGGGAGGGGATGTTCCTTACTGGCCCACAGTGAGAATTTTGATAATATCTCTTCTACCTAATCTTAAAGCCAGGAAGTTTTTTGGTACAGTATTGAAGAATGTCGATTTACAGAAATAAATGAATTCCTTAAAATAATTTTTTTAATACTGCAAAACATAGGAACCATTAGAAATATGACTCCCAATGCTAGAGTTTGTCTGTTTCCCATGAACACAAGCATTTTCATACAGGTCTAATCAGGATTAGGTCACCCTCTGAGGCTATGAATTGAGTGATTAGTTTGTGAAAGGATATTAAAAATCACTGAAAATATTGCTGAATTCGTTGCCTGATCTGCCAGTAGGCAGCATCTGAACAAAAGCGTTATTTCCCTTTGTGAATCATGGGTACTATTGATTGTCTTTCCAGTAAATGTGTGAAGCTACAGAAAGAATAATATAACTTATCCCTGTAAGTCATATTCTGAGTGAACGAGCTTTTAGAAGTGGAAGTTTTGGTGATTTGTATTTACAGCAACCCAGTTTGAATTTCAGGAGGATGCTTGTTCAAATTGAACCATGACAGAGTCTGGATGGCTTAGCCAGTGTTCAAGGAGTCAGGGGGTGTAAAACTACTATTATGGTTACTACTAATGAAGAATAGAGCTCCTCTACCTCTCTTTCTGTAGATCCTTCCTCGAGGCTGAAAACATGCAACTTCCGCACCTTGAAACAAGTGAGAGTTTAGATTATTAGAGCTGTGTGAGAAGAAATAAATACATATAATAACTTTGTATCTATTTGTACTGGTAAGAAATTTTCTCTTATTTCATGAGAGCCCAGTGCTTCAAGCTGCTGAGCATTCTTGATGTACATTTAAGGAGGATGGTCATAATTTTCTATTAGTCGGTTGGCGTATTTCAGCCCTTTATGATATTTTGAGCTTTTGCTGATCCCAAGGTGGCGTATGCTTAGAAGTGCCAATGCACAAAATTTATCTATATTTAATGAAATTTTAGTAATAAAGGAATTCTTGGAAAATGTGCTGAGTCACTGACCTGGTAAGTAACTTCTGTCTAGGTTCTACTGCATTCAGTAGGAACCAATTGTTGACTTCAGTGAAATGGGAAATTATTTCAGATGAAACACAAGTCATATCACTACAAAATTCACCTTAATTACTCTGTTTAACTTTGGAATTCTTATTTGGAATCACCATTGCACAAATCCATCATCTTGCTCAGCTGAGGTTTTGCAGCCCACTTACATCTATGTATATAATAATATAATGTAGAAAATCAGGAGAACATTATCCCTGGAAACATTCAAGCTCAGGTTGGACAGGGCTCTGAGCACCCTGATCTAGTTGATGATGTCCCTGCTCATTACAGGGGGGGTTGAACCAGATGACCTTTAAAGGTCCCCTCCAACCCAAACTATTCTATGATTCTATGATTTCAACGAAGCTGTGTCACTGCTCTGTCAGTGATAGGTAAAACCAAAATTGTGTATTTGGTAAGAAAGTGAATGGACTAATATACCTTATAGGACACAGGCAATATTTTGGGCTGACCTGACCCTCTATCTCTCTTCAGCTACAGATACTTTCTTAAAAACTGAGAGGCATGATAACAATGCTGCTTTTAAAAATATTCATGTTGAATTATTCATTGCATTTTAATAGAGAATAATCATATGCAACAGGTGTTTTTCCTCTGGCTTGTTGGATGGGAGTATAACTAGCCTCCAGTTATTGGCCTCGGGGAAAGAAGCAGTAGAACAAATCAGCCTTATTTTAAAATAATTACTGCAATCCTACAGTGCCTGTCAGTTGTTATTTTCCTGTTTTATGTCAATGTACAGTACATGTACAAATAGGACTCTGAAACTGGAAGAAAAAATGCAACCTATTAAATAAAATTTGAGAAAATAGCATGGATTTAATAAATATTATTCTAGTAGAAGTGAAGGGCCTATTCCATACATTTTATTAAAATCCTTCTGAGCAGAGCAGTATCGAATTGCTAGCATGACGATAAAAGGAACAAGGATTATTATAATTTTGCTCCAAATAATTGCTATGATATAAGGATGTATTCAGGGACCTCATTTTGTGTCTTTTAAGTCAGCATTTAAACAAGATTAATTTAATTTAAGCAAGATTAAGTAAAATTTCAATAGGAATTGCAAGTATGTTTTACCACTCTGATTCTTTTACATTTCTAAAATAAAATAGCAGTTAATAAGGCATTAGTGTGATACCTAAGTGATAACTGCTTACCTGCTTAATTTGACTGATGCAGCACAACCTTCTCATGGGTTCTGGATATTAACAAAGGGGAACTCCAGCTCATTCTGCCCTCCCACACTTGTGTAATTATAACGCTGCACAAAGTCTGCAGGTCAAGAGGGAGCTTGAGAAAGAATTTCTCTGAATTTGGCCCTCTCTAAAATCCACAGAAAACTTATATGCTGGATGGGCCATTTTGGAAGAGGGCCTAGTGATCAAAGACATGCATGTGCATGTCCACCTCTTCAACTGACAGTTCCTGTTAGATTCCCTTCTCCCACACACCACTCAGACTCCAACTCTGAATAATCTCTATCTGATGCCTATTCAGGGAGAAGCTGCTGTGCTGTGACGGAGACTGATACTACCACTATTCTTGCAGCACATCTAGATGCACTTAGTAGGTGGAGTTCTTTGGTGCCCAGATACAACCCTCCTGAAGGTAAGTCACCCACACCTAATGGCAACCATCTGTGACAACCTTTGAACAATATATTGCACCTCTATGCATCGGTCTAGGTCAGGGATTTAAGAGGCGTGGTCCTTTACTCAGAAGGCTTAGGACACACACTTCTAAAAAGTTGTTGTACTCATATTTTTTGCAGTCTCTCCCAGGCTAACATATTAGCAGGACTGAGAGCTGTGGACTTCTGACCAGCTGCAATGCACTGCAGCAAGGCGCTGCTCAAGCATGCAGCTTTCCTTGAGCTGGTGCAGTGTGGGGTAGAGTTGTTCCCTGTAGTGGACGCAGAATATGAAAAATTTATTCCACTGTCCTTCAGATCTACCCAGTGGAATGTAAAGACAAATGAAAAAATAGTTTAAGATTAAATTAGGAGTTATTAAACTTAGGTAAATGTGTAGACCATTAGGACTTTGCCAACTATGAAAACAATATAAATGTTTTTGTTACGATTTATTCTTGTAACCTCACAGCTGATAATTTTTTAATAACCTATATCTCTGCAGTGTTAGAAACCCAAGGCCAATTTACTTGTGCTTCTGCATGAGGCTGGGAAGATTATGTTTCTACTTTAACAATTAAAGATGCTCTCATAGCACAGATATGGACATAAATTGTTTACAATTTTCACATTGTCCCCCTCACAGAAAATTACCTTCAGAGCACATAATGCTATCCAAAAATTGAAGGATGAGCTAAAAACATAGTTTCACGTTTGGAGAGTAACATGAATAAGAGAAGATTTGTTGGTTAATAGACTAAAAAAAAATGAAGCTTTGTACCACAAATGTTGGGTGGCAATAAGACTCATCATAGCTCTTTTCACAATCTGCAGCATTTTCAGTGGTGTTTCATAATGTGAAGACTGGATGATATACCAGCATATAGGCAAACGATAACTAATAGAACATATTTATTCTACTTATTTTTAATTCATGTATTGTGTTATTTTTGTACAATCTACATGTTAACTTTTTTAAAGAATAAAAGTATTCCTGTTAGTTTTTTACACACAGAACATTAAAATAAGAAAAAGATGTAGTCCTTGCATTTAATATGTTAATGAAATGTGTTGAGTAATTAAATGTAATAATTTTGTACATTTATTCTTCAAATTATTCACTAATCTTGCATTAGTGAAATACATAGATAATGAAAAGTAGAAAATAGACTTCACAGTTCAATTAAAGATAAAACAGAAGACACTTTAAAGGTTTTCCTTTCTATTCTATTTCTATCCTATATCGCTCCCTCTCAATTTCAGAGGGAGGCAGGAATTTAAACAGTTTCTGCTGTAATAGAAAGGCACTTCCAAGACATGCATTCCCATTTCTTCCTCTTAGGTCCACACAAACATTTATTTCCCTTTCCTTCAGATAGCAAGTAGACACATTGTGTGGGCCTGATTCTCAGTCCAGAGGAACTCTCCATGCCCATCACTGAAGATATTGTGGACTTACTTTGAACTAAATGCCACTAAAATCAGAATCCAACTCTACAGCTCTGACAGGAGATGGAACAGCTGAACAAGAGTAGGCATTCAGGAAAGTCCTTACACCCTGCACTTTTCTTCCTGTTTTCCTCCTTTGGCGTCTTCACTTCGCCTGAATACTGGAGATACAGGACAAGAGAATATTGCATTTACTCCAGCTGAGAATTCAACAGAGGAAAACAACTATTTTGCAACAAATGTAAGAGATGAGCAGCTTAGATATTGATGCCTTGTTTCTTATGAATTGTATTAATAAAGGTGCTCATGTTTTTCCTATCAAGTAAGATCTGGAGTAAGGTTATTTAAGAATTACAGAAGATATTTGAATTATTTTAGTATTATTTCCTCTTGAACCAGATGACAAGTATGAAATGTTTCTTACCATTTAAATATTTTTTCTTATGTTTCTTATTGTTCTAATGGTGAATGATTAGAAGTTACTTAGATGAAATAACAGCCTAAGTAAGTTAGTTATGGTGAATCTTCCAGTTGCAGCTCAAGATTTGTTCGATCTAGCCTGCGTTTTCATGACACACTTTAAAAGACCTACATCGTTTCCAGGATTCCTTAAGCCAAGAATGTATATGTGTACAGACTAAAATATTTTCTTTGGAGAGATGGTCCTCACTTTCTAGGGCTTTACCTCTGTAGGAAACAATACAATTGCAGTCCTTTTGGAACTCTGGACCCTAGTGAGATACTTAAAAATGCTCAACAGGTGTAGATACATAAAAGCCCAGTAGTAGGTGCCTATGTGCATCTTCAGTTATATAAACGTTTTTTTAAACACATGAGAGCTGGAAATTCAGCCGAGTCAAATTTCAGGATGAAATTTAGGCTCTCAAAGTAATTTCTCTGTCTACTTAAGTTTTACTCTGTAGCCATTTTTCATGGTTTTGATGTATTGCATCTACCAGTTACTAATTAATCCGATGAACATATCGATATAGAAAGTCTTCTAAACTCAAAATATAAGCCTTATGATACTGTCTTCTTATCTCATCTGTACATGGTTTTTATTCTCATCTTTTACAAGGTGCATCTGTAGCAGGAACAAGCACACAAAATGTAGCTATTCAGCCAGTATCAAATTGTGAATGGAACCTTCAAATTTTCTAACAATACTAGTTAACCATCAGGGTGCAAAAGGAATGTACACACTATCTTCTGATTGAATTTTTAGCTTTTATTTTTGGGGGGGTGCTTAAGGCAGCAAGTGACACAGTACATCAACTTCACTAGAGAGGAAGATGCTTGGGAGAATGTCTGTCACTATTGTTGCCTGTTGTAATTAACGGCACAGTAACAGCTGCAAGCAACCTGGGAAGCGTCATGCATTAAAGGAAGGGACAGCTGAAGAATTTGTGAGTCTTTTTAAATTAAAAAAGCCACCATGGCCAATCAAAGAAATAACTTTAGATACAGTCCTGGGCTCTGTGTGTTTGATAAAAATCCTAGGTTAACAAAGTAATGAAGGTGATTTGACAATGAGTGTCATTATAAGAGATAAATTAAATAAAATAAATCAAGTGAATCACTGATAAAATTAATTTACACATATTTAAGCTATGGTTTGATTTGATCATGCTCTGTTTCTGGTTCATTATAATTATAGGGTCTGATTTCCCAGGTCTTTGCTCCTGATTTATACTAAAGAATGAGGTATACTGTCAGTTTCAGACTTTCTGTTTTAACTTAACACTAAATTAACCTTAAATTATGGTTTGGATCTCATTACAGTTCTGGTTCCCAAAATTAAAAGTGTGTTGGAAAAGCGGGGGGGAGGGAGAGAGTGCAAGGGAGAAAGCAAGAGTGCTCTGTACTGCCCAGGTGTCTCTAGTAGGAGCAGTCTCTAATGCTGGCAAGCAATACACTACACCGCTGTCCCTACTTCTCTTTTTCATTTGTGAATGTTTGCCAGAGATTATTATCACACGGTTTCTCATCAGAGCTGTAGTTCTAGTTTATCAAAGTGTCAGCGTAAGGACTAACACTAAGGTGAATTTGTTGCAATATGGCTAGACTGTGAGCCCTGGTCTGACAGCAGACTCACTGCTATGAAAGCTATCTCTGTAACTAGAAAGGTTTTGTAAAAATTACTGGGCAGTAAGGGATGGATTTTACAGGTACTTAAGTCTTAAATAGTTTAGAGTGACGTCTACTATCATAGTTTTCAAAAGCATCTGCATTTCTGCACTATTACTTTATGGGAAAGCAGGCACACAAGCATTTTGAAAAATCACAGTGATTTTTGTTTCTTGTTTTACTTCATGCCTGACACTACAACGTGCATGCAATTTCTCAGTCATGGGAGCTCCATGGGATAGGAGGTGCCACACCCCTCGGGAACCTCCAAATCTCTTCTTTAGAGCCTTAGAGCTCACAGTCACAAGGAGAGCTCCCTCTGGATTTATGATAGTCCTCCCTGTTCTGTTTTTCAATTGTTCTAATAATCAAGGAATTAACACAAATATTAGAGATTTTCTAATTATGATGCGTATAGCAAATATGAGCATGCATAGTCACTCTTTCTAGAAATTTAACTAATTTAACAATAATTGAAAGAATTGCAGAACATTGTGCTGTTTTGCCCCATTCCCCTTGACAGCAACTCTGTACCTATAAACTTTGGGTATTCCTTACCCTAAATCTTAATTATATTTGAACTTTAGAAAGCTCTCAGACTATTTTCATTTTTTTTATATGTATTCATGAACACAGAAATGCAAAGTTCATGGCTCAAACAGAGTAGGGGACAAAAGGGAGGCAGTAAAATGAGGGGCTGAAAATACCAATGAAGTGACTTTCATCATTATATCAATGGTAGCAGATAGCTGTATGGTCACCTGCAGGGAACTGCTTGGCAGCCTAACCCGAACAAGCACAATAGAAGGCCATCAAAGGAGTCTACAATGCGTTTCACAGACTTCAACTCTCATTCTGCAGCTCTGAATCACAGGATCATTCCCACTTACTTCACTACATCACCTGCCTTTGCGGAATAAAGCTGAACAGTTTGTGATTGCAATTCCCAAAAGCATGATTAATGCAACTAATCTTATGCATTTTTCCTGGGACCAAATCTTCCCCAAAGTCATGAACCCTTTCTGTATGCTCTGATGACTAACTAAAACTTTACCTATGCCTATAAATTGAACATTTATGTCAGCAGAGTTTTTGCTATATGTATTTTTGCCTCAATACATGCTTTTGGTTAGTGGAACTAGAGTAAATATTTCATAGGATGATAGTAGTAAAACTGAATGGCAAACAAACACCTTTACTGATCTTGGACTTGCTGCCTGGACATTATAGTGAAAGATACACTGGAAACTCGGGAATGGATGACTAGTCTCTATGAAGCACTATGCTGGTGCTCAACTCCTAGACCTGAAGTGCTTATGCAGATAAAACACTGTCCATTGGAAGTCTGTGGGAGTTTTGCCCATGTAAAATTCAACAGAATGGTCCCAAAGAGCTGTCATTTACAGGAGACCTCATGGGTTAAGGTCAGTGCTGACCTTCTATGGGAGAGAGATCAAGGACATTCTACCAGGAGTGCTTTCCTGGGTCTAGTGACTCAGACTCTGGTGTTGATGACAATCGTTGTGGGCAGCTGCTGTGGTGAAAAGTTACAAGTGTGTCTTTGAAGGGGTGTAATTTTTGTGATCCAAATTTTGGGGGTTTTTTAAGAAATAAAAGGCAAACCATGTGTGTTTAAGAGTTACTTTTGCCTGCCACTGAAGGGATGTAATAAGTAATTTTTCTGGTTTTTTTCTGACTCTGGAGCCTGTATCCAATCTCTTCTGTTACTTACTTTTCTTTCATTTTAGAAGTATCTTTAAAATATTCAGTGTTTCCTGAATTTTCTCTAGAACAAAGACTGTTCTGAAGGAGAACATCAAATGCTAAAACGCTGCATGATCCAAAATTGTTAGTTTTAGAAGAAAAGCATTTCCTCCTTTTTGAAAGTTTCTGAATTATTATGAGCTGCTTTCTGTATCAGCTCTTTGCTACTACAAAAACTATTCTGAATAGCCAAACACCAGAAAAAGAAAAAAGATAGTTATAGAACAGAAGAAAAAAAAGATGATGCAAAATAACAACTAAAATACTGTTTTCTGACAGGTCTGTTTTTTTAAATTGAACTTTACTTTCTTCTCTAGGGCTATGATCAGACTTTTATTGCTTAACTGAGGTGTTTTGTCCAAGATTTGAATAATAGGGTAGTATACATTAGACCCAAAAGTGAATATTAAGGATTAAATGCTCGCCTATGTAAAGAAGAAAGCAGCATCTTGCACTAGGAGTGCTATGTGCAGCTGATGTCATGTCGAAAGAAGCTGTACTTGTACACGTCATTTGTTGTTATTTGTTTTTAAAAGGATTCTCAGTACTTAGAATGAGGCCAAAATATAATTTGTGTATGTATATGTCACTACGCAAATTCACTGATTCACTCTCTAGGTTGCAATGGACTGTGAAAACTTCAGCTTAGTTGTAAAATGCTGTTTGTTAGCTTGTTTATTAGGGTTTGTCTTTAAAAGGAAGGTCTACCTGAGCTTTGTCCAGGGTAAGAATTTGGCTTTAAATATACCTGATTTATTTAACAAAAACCTCTGCTGAATAATTCTGACTCTGATTTTATCGCTGCATGAATATGTCTCTGTTACTTTTCATCTTAATAGCTTTTCTAGAACTCTGCTATTTCACTCCTGGTCATTTTGAATGTACAGGATTTCATTTTGGGGGGATGACATTTTGTAGAACTGTGCTTTGAAAATGTGCTGTAAATCTCTCGTGCAGTTCACCTAATTGCCCCCTTCAGTGCAGGGTGCAGATCCATGTTATACACCATTTGGTTCACCTACAGTCAGATGCTAAAAATGACAGTCCTGTTTTCTTTGCCTCTCTGTCCCATGTATTTCCACTGCATCTCTTATATAAAATCTAGGCTGAAAATTGACTTAATTCAGTTCACTGGTCTGACAGTATTTTAGGTGTTTTTTTTGTTTGTTTGTTTTTTGTTTTGTTTTTTTTTTTTTATTTGTCTTGTTATGGATGAATCAGATTTCTGCTCAAGTGGTAAGCTGGTCCAACTCACCCTATGGCCACTGAGTTCATAGGCTGAATGTAATCAAAATGTGGGGCAGACCATACAGACTATGTATGACACAAAACATCAGTCTCCATGGCTGTTCTTTACTCTTGATGTTAGGTATGTGGGCCAAAGTCCACCGCTCCATGACACTTGAGCCAGCTGCATCTACATTACCTGTAGCAGCAGGTTTTGAGCTGCACTGGTTTTGATCTCTGAATCTTGCTCACCTCCACCCAAGTGCCTCCTGAGAAGCCAGCACAGGGGTGATTAAGGGAGTTTTGGCTCAGGCCTGTGTGATTGCTTTGTCATACTAATGTGAATACCAGGATTTACAGCCATTTTTGTGAGGCCTGATTGTAGAGTTGTAGCATCACACTGCAAGGAGCTGGGTAAGGCACGCAGCACAGTACGGGTCTCTCAGCGGGACCGCAGTGGGTCACCCTCAGCAGGAAGGGAGTGAGCATCCTCGTCACCTGGGATCCAAGCTCCTGGAATCTGTCCTAGCTACAGTGCAAGTGCTAAGAAAAGCAAACTGTACTGGTCTTGTGGAATGTAGGACTGAAGAAATACATACAATCTTTCACAGGCTTTTATTTTACCTGAGGAATTTAATTCTATGTAAATATATTGCATTTGAGTAAAATAATGCAGATATATATATTCATGTAATTAGAAGAGAGTTATCTGCCTCAAGGACCTTTTAATGATTTTATTGTTAGACTTTTTCCCTAGAATGAAGAAAAACTGATGTGAATAGAATCACCTGAAATCTTTGGGATATGTATCCTATGTATCTTCTGCATGTAAATTTACATATATTTTGTAAACACAGTGACAGCCTACTTTTCAGGGGGGCACTAGAATCTAATAGAAAGTATAACAAAAACTGTGGCTATGAATAACACAATCTTTGTGTTTATGCAGTAGAGAGAATAAGAATTTATATTAAATTAGACACCTGGAAATATCCATAATCTTTATCATCACTAGAAAAACACTTGATGGAAGTCAGTGAGGGTAGT